GGGGGGGGGGGGGGAGGAGGTACACTACATTTGAAATAATCTATTTTTGATATGCTTGATACATATATGTCAAATTTGCTTTCAAATAATGTATGTAATATAATACATCTCACATGCAAATCTTTTTATCCTCTTCTTACTGACATTTGAATATGTTACAACACGAAAAAAAGATTAAAATAAAAAAAATGCATATTTTAAAAATAAATCCTTCTATATTAGTTAAAACAAGATTACTCCTTCACAAAAAATTAACTTCAAAGTTAAAAGATACAAAAATAATATTTTAAAGAAAAGCTTTATAATTATAGTATAGTTTCTTACCAAGTGATCTTCTCTCGAATGTAAAATATTTTCTAAGAAAGCTCCTTTAAGGTTTTTTTTCTAAAAAAAAAAAGGATTTACCATACTTTAAAATGATTTGACGAAGATTTAAAAATACAATTCCGGAGTAAAAAAAATTGTCGTATAAATTAAGAACGACTTGTGACGCGCGTGAAGAAAATGAAAGAACATAAAAGAAACGTCCAATGTCTGTAGATCCAGTAGACATACATAAGTGATATGAACGTAATCTGCTTGCCCGTTTCTCTTGCCCGATATTGAGCATAAAAGGAGCTCTAATACCAGAAATGCCTATTCCAGGTGAACATGTAAACTGGGCACTTGGTCGCGAGCAGGACGTTAATTGGAAGTACAGTGGGGAAAAAAACGATCGCACAAGTACTCGTGCGACAAGCAAAATGAGAGAAGTCAAGTGCTCTTACAACGTGTCGCGCAAGGAGATTCGATTAAAATGATGATTCGTTAATCGAGTCCTGGACTCGAGATAAGCCGGTAACCTCTCCTTCAGAAAAAGAGGGAATAAAAGCGAGAAGATAAAGCATACTTTACGTTCTGCGCTGAAATATAATAAAAAGAAAGCACCAAAATCGCATTTCAACCTAACAAATAATTACAAATGTGGAAAAATAAAGAAAAAAAAAATAAATAGGAACAAATCTTTGTCGTAAAATAATTTGGCGCAGATCAAAAAACAGCTATTGCGCAGAACAGAGAAAGAGAAGAAAAAGGCAGTAAGCCACGATTAATCGAACCGCCATCGTATTATTATTTTATAATACAATTAACTGCAAATACAAACAACAATATTTGCCACACAATGCTGCATTACGTTAAAATGATTATTTTCTCGATTGAGCATATGAAATGAATCAATAGCGGCAGAATTTATTATCACAACATACCTGACTGCAGTAACAATAGTAATAAATCGATCAATAATGAATCATTTATAATAAATCGATTAATAATAGCGGTAATCTGCTAGTAAAATCTACAATAAATTCGGTGAGCCGATTATCCGATACTCGGATACCAAAGAACACAAGATTAATCGTTATAATTGCACGGCGTTATTTGAATCGGTTAACTCGTCAAGCAGTGATTTTAATTAAATTAACGTTTCACATTGCCGATTCACTTACGTAGTTTCTAAAGGCTCTCCGGGTTAACTTCAGTGTTTGCATAACTGCGACCAATGCGCCATTGAAATACCACCTTCCCAATGATGGATCCCAGTCATAAAACTGTTTAGTTACAACGGCTTATTTGCCGGATGATACGGAGCCATTAGAAAGCAACGCATTTGAATATTTTGGAAATACATTGCGATATCACAATTGGTATTTTGAATACATTTTAATCGTATCTTGGTTATCACGATTTATTCTAGTGCATTTGAAATCTCAAGATCTAAATTCATCAATATTATATCAATCATTTAGTATTTATTTCCATAATTTTTATCGCGATATCTCAAGTTTTTTTGAATGCACAAATCGCACATTTTGATTGTCATGATTTGTTCCAGTGCATTTGAAATTTCAAAATATATGATTCATCAATATTGTATCGATCATTAATATTTATTTTGACAATTTTATTGCGATATTACATATTAATTAATTAGTGGCAGAATTTATTATTACAACATACTTGACTGCAGTAATAATAGTAATAATAGTAAAATAATAGTAATAAATCGATAATGAATCATTTATAATAAATCGATTAATAATAGCGGCAATCTGCTAGTAAAATCTACAATAAACTCGGTGAGCCGATTATATTATTTATTTTGATAATTTTTATTTTGATAATTTTTATTGCGATATCACAATTGTTTTTTGAATACACAAATCGCACATTTTGATTATCACAATTTGTTCCAGTGCATTTGAAATCTTAAGATATGAATTCATCAATATCAATATTGTATGAATCATTAATATTTATTTTGACAATTTTTATTGCGATATCACAATTGTTTTTTGAATATATTAGTCGCACATTTTGATTGTCACAACTTGTCTCGGTGCATCTGAAATCTCAAGATCTGAATTCATCAATATTGTATCAATCATCAGTATTTATTTTTTTTTTTTAATTTTTGTTGAGATGAAAGCCCGATACGAATAAAAAATGCAATTTATCGAGATTATTTCCCGCAAGCGGGATTCATTTCATCGACGTCTCTGCAGAACGCATGTTTACCACCCCCGCCCGAGAAAAAGAAAGTGCGAGATGGCGGTAGAGGGACAAAGAGAGGAGAAGAGACGGGGATGATGGCGAGAACGAGAGTGAGAGAGGTAGAGAAGAGAAGAGGGGTCGACATAAACACGAGGGGTTGCGAAAACTGCCAACTAGGTTACAACACCCGTAACAATTCTCACGATTGGACACGAATCGACATTGCACAAGTTCAGTCTTGTTTCCGAAGACACGCGCACCCTCCTCGCGTCGTCTCGAAATCGCACCCCCCTGCGTCTTCGCGCGAGGAACGTGGAAGGAACGGATGACTCTCTCTCTCTCGCCGAAACGATAAAAAGGGTTAAGTCTGATGTACTCACCCTTGGTGCGAGATGCGCCGGACGATAACAACAACTGGGCAGGACGAGGGTGGATGATCACCAGCACCGGCACTTGCGCCACCGCCACCATCCACGCCGACGGCGCCGACGATGACGAGTGCGGGTAACAACGGGGCGGGATTATAACCTTGCGTGGGTACTCCGCTGTAAGCGGAGAATGCGTCTCCACGACAGGAAGAGCAGTCGTGACGAAGAGCATGCACGAGGCGTGAAAAGTGGATGCGACGTGCTGTAGACGAGACACTCGCGTGCCTGTCTCTCCCTCCCTCTCTTTCTCTCTCTCTCTTTCTCTATTCTCTTTCTCGTCGATTCCGACGTTGATACGAGATCCGTAGGACGCACCGGGAGGAACGCGTACCGGAACACCGGAGCACCGAGAAGTCACCGCGATCGCGATCCGCGATTTGGACGTCCCGAGGGAGAGAACGCTCTCAAGCGCCGCGACGCGCTCGTCGACGACGGCGACGCGGCGACGACGACGGCGACGACGACGAGGAGCGCACGGCGAGTAGACGAGAACAACCCTCTCGCGCTGCTACCACCACCGACACCGCCCTCGCGCACCTCCTCGCCTCGCCGCGGCATCGGGCGCGGCGGAAACGCGCCGTCGCGACGCCACCTCGAGAATACGCATGCGCCACGTCGCCTCCTGTGTGGTCGCCGCATGTGTACACATACGTTTTCCTGAGCGCGGGTTAGGTCCACTTCGGATTGCGATAACAGCCGGCAGGGTGCGACGGTTTACCCTTGCCTCAGGATAAGAAATTGCCACCCTATTTCGATCGCCCCCACGCGGTGGTAATCTGCCAAAACTCTTCCGAATATACGCTTATCGCGTATTGTATTCTGAGTTTCTTAGAACAGCTGCTGATTACGAGAAGCTTTGGAGTAACCGGTAAAATTTATTGCAAGCCCTCAATTATTTTTATTTTTTATATCCAACTCAAAAATATGGCGTGATATTATTATAAATCGTATATTTCCGTAAAAAAATAGGCTTTAAAAGAAAAAAAATTTTGTTTTGATTTAATTAAAATAACTTGTTAAAATCCGGGCTTTAGTTTCTCTCGTTTATTTACTGTGTCGTTTATTTACTATTGTATATGTTATGTATTTTGCAATAATTAAAAAAAAATTTTTTTATGAAACAAAATAAAACATTACAAGATAAAAATAAATTTTTTATAACATATTTTAAAGAACTGAATTATTTAGAACTATTAAAATTAATTAATTTATTGCAATATAATTAAAATGTATAAAAAATAAATAAAAATAAAAAAATTTTTAAATCGTGTCCTCTCTTTCTTTTTTGTTCTTTATGAATTTATCATATTATAATATTTGATTTTTCAAATTATACGTTTTATTATTACAATTGATATATCAATGTAAAGTTTCTTTGGAAATCTTGTGCTAATTTATCGTAAAAATCTATGTTTTTAATTTTTTATATTAGCCGTGTTTTCCATAAAATTATTTTTACTGATATGTCTGTATGCAAAACAAAACATTTCAAATTTCTTGTGAGGAATCTATTGCAAATTATAAATTATCAGTCATATTATGAAAAATAGTGAAAAATATGTTTGATTTTAAGAAATCTTAAAATATTATACTTTGATTAACTTTTTACAATTATTGATACAATGTGAAAATAAATGGCTGTGAAATGAGAAAACCTATATTATGCACGTATTTTAGATGTCACGAGAAAATCATTCTTTGAAATTTTTGAAATATAATTTATCTGAAATATGAATTATTAATAATTTTAATTAAATAATAAAAATTGATTTAAATATCTAATTGCTGCAAGATCATACATAATGCTTTACACGTTTAATAATGATGATACTTTTTTCTGACTTTTGACATCTCGAAAAAGAACGTCTTTTCTCTCTCATCTTTGTTCTCATTTCAGAGTAATCGAGACGTGACTTGCCACCTGTCAAATTGTGCGATTAATCGAATAAGTCGCGAAGAATAGCACAATGAGGATTACGCACACATAGATCTAGAATTTGCCGGATTTCTTTATAACGGATGACATCGTCATCTTGTTTTCACGAATTCACGGCCCTCTATATTCTTCATTCGTTAAACGAGGGCACGAGCGCGAGGGGTCGCGCGCGAAGAAACTCTCTTGCTAGACAATGCAGATTCAATTAAAAGTCCCCTCTCGACGTGAAAAACTTTTCCAATCAGACTGATACGTGCTGGCGTGTCCTTTTTCGTCCGCGGGATTTTTTCTTTTTACTAGAAATCCTAACGCGATCGGATAGTAATTATGTCGATATCAATTTAACAGTTTTCGACTTTCGTTCGCTTCGTCTCGCGCAATAATTGATGGAGAACCAACAGAGTACAGAGGTCTCCTGGCCCGGGACAGATCGGATAGAATGATGTTTATCGAATTTCCGCTTTCCGGTGATACGAATGTGAATTCTATCGCGAAAACAAGTAAATTTTAGCAGAAGAATGTGCTACATTTAATACAATATTCACCGGCTAAATCTGTTTTATTTGTAAGGCATATTATAATAATGTGCTATACCGAGAATTTGAAAATATTTATAAACTTTCCCCTCGCAATGTGTGTATAATGTTTGTATAAACAGAAAAATATCATTCTATTGCTAAGAAAAGTGATTTTATTTTTCTTGTCTTAAATAACAGTTATCTTTAACGAGAAAGAATATTTTCTCGATAATAATCTTAAAATATACTCACAAGTCATAAATTTTAAAACAACTTATTATTATATACTCAAGAAAAAAGAATTTATTTTTGTCTAAAGAATATTATCGAAGAACAACAGATTTGAATATTTGATGATAAAAAGATCGATTTTCTTACTTTAATTTGATATTCTTTATTAAAGTACATTTATTAAAGTACATTTGCTAGGATTCAAAATATATGAAATAAATTTGATGCTTATGATGAACTTATAGATATATAAAATATTTGAAAGAAATAATATTTATTTAAATACAATATGTATTTTTCTATATGTGTATATATGCTTGTCAATTATACTATTTTTTAATTATGATTACTATCGTTAGCAGACCAAAAGACCAAAATGCGAAAATGTCATTGCTTTGCTGGGAGATAAAAGTCAAGTAGAAGATTTCACTATACCTAAAATCGATAATCCCCCGACAGGCATTCTATGGCGTTGCGGCAAAACTACATGGTGCACTTTCTCGGCCTCGTGTAAGCCAAGAGTGTACTTCGGCTTCATCCGCGTTCGCGCTAAATGTGTGTCTCGTGCCTTTAAAGGGGCTGCAACTTTTCCACAAAAAGTTCCCCTTTCTCCGCAAAGAAAAGTTTTCCGGAAGTGTACGGAGAAGCAGAATCGCGTTTCAAAGAAGTGCAGTCGCAGAAACGATGCGACACTCGTACGAGCGCGTTAAGTCGCAGTTCCTCTCAGATTTTTCGCCACTTCCGTTTCTTCTGGAAATGTGTTGATGTTAACGAAATCGCTCGCGACTCTCTCCTCGCGGTGATTTTCGACAAAGTTAATTTAAAAAACGCCAACAGGGGGAGGCTACTCGAGCCGGAGATCGTGCGCTTTTTGCGTTTTTTTTTTTTTTTTTTGTAGAATTGCGAGATGATTTGAGAGAGAAAAATTCCCTCGACAAATGTCCCCTTTTCGATTTGCGATTGCGCGACTTTTTGCGCGAAGCCCCGCTTTTTCTTCTTCTTTTCGCGCCTTTACCGACCGCTTTAACGTCCACGATCCCCGGGCTCGTTTCCACGGCAGCCCGCGGCGATGGATCAAACTGTTCAACTCGCTCGAAAGGTTTGCGGAGCCACGGGGTTTGGATGGTCTTCTTCTTTTTCCCTCTTCGCAGTGCAGTGTGTCGGGATCGATGTGTGATGCCTGCGCGTCCGACGATGTGCTAATTACCCCGTGAAAAAAATGTCTGCTTATTTGTAAGCGAGATCTGCACAAATATGGCTGTGTATGCGCATCATATATCGTTGCACAACTATTAAATGTATGCTTCTTATCGTTATCTATACGTAAAGCAGTACAGTATAATTATATTGTTTCAAAAATCAAGTTTTAAATGTTCCAAGGACCGGATTTATGTCCCAGTATTTCTGATCATATTCTAAAAAAATAGTAAACCACTAAATACGTATAAATATAAATCTCAAAATGAATATTAAATTTAAAAATCATTAATATATCATGTTTGTTTAAACTAAAAATTTAGAGTTGTTGGGTAAAATTTTGTTATGTAATAATTAATATAATAAGCTGACGTATGCTACGTAAGATGATTGATTTAACTATTTTACTAAGAGACTATTTTACTAATTGATTTTTACAGCACTGAAGAAAAGCATTTTTAATCACTTTTTAAAAAAAATGTCTCGATTTAAAAATAATCTTTTGAATGTATTTGGTGTTGTTTTTTTTTTTATTAAAATTAATTTTATATGTAAATATTTCAATGTCTGGTTATCTGATAAATTTAAAACTATCCCACTGTTCGTTCATATATCTGACTGCTCAAATTCGTTAATATATTCGTAATAAAAGTTATGTTTAAGAAAATAAGCAAGTTTACGTATACACACAATTTTCACATTTAAGATATTTTTAATTCTATAATTTAATTTTCATTCAAGATGTCTCAATTCATTATTGTAAGTAATTATTCTGTCTACTAATCTAATAAATTATTAATATCCATTATTAGATTTATATTATTAAAGAATCACGTAAAATAAAGAATTTTTATATAAAGAATTATATAAAATTGAAAATAATCTTGAAATAACGTACGCAAAATTATTTTTGCATGTGTTTATCTCTGTGTTTTATGAACAAAGAAAACTTATAAAAAAAGAAGAGATTGGAAAAAAGCGAGAAAAAAATAAGGCTAAATATTTTCTAAAGATAAATATATTAATAATATATTTTTATTGTAATTTATCTTTTTTAAATAAATTCCTATTATCGACATGTTAATCGTCACATTACAGTTAAAGATGGGGATATATTGTTTCCAGATTTTGGGACATAGTCTATTTAAAGGCATTGCATTTCGCATATGCACACACACACACACACACACACACACACATATATATATATATGTATGAAAAATTGTTGCAAATATTTTATTACAAATTGATTATCATTATATTGTTACATTGTTACCATTATATTTTTAATTATAAATTGACAATTGAAATTCCTTTTTTATTTTGATTAATTAAAGTGTGATCTTAATTAGGTATGTACAGAAAGCGAGAAAGATATCATTTTCATACAAAAGAATGTTTTTAATAATTATTAATTCTTAAATGTCCGGCTATTGGGACATTTACTTTACTAACAGTTTTTAATTTGTATTTTGTAAAATTAAAACTTAAAGTATGGAATTATTATTAATAAAACAGTGCACAATGTATAGAATGAATTGCATAAGTTATTACAAGTTAATATCTCAGGAATAAATCGCAAAAATACAATTCACTATCATAAATCACTTAAAATTAAATGTTTAAAGTTAGTTACTTTAACTAAATTATTCGAAAAGTTTTTCACAATTTTTTTAAAATCTCAGGATGATCATGAAAAATTAATGCCAAAAAGTAATATATCACATAAACATTATGCATGTTTTGTCATCATTAAACTATTATCAATAATTTTTCCAATATCTGAGATAATTGCTGAAATATTAATTTATAACAAATTGCGTGACTAACGTTTTAATAAAGAAATGTTACATAAATTGCATTGAAATGGGTATTTATTGAAGTTAATGGTCATTCGTTAATTTGTTTTATTGTCTTTTACTTTTCCATTATTGATTTTCGATAATATATTTTTCGTCAAAAAAGTCAATCCGAGAAATTGAATACATAAAACATAAATTGCTTCTTGCTTGTTAATCAAGCGTACCTACATGCATCTGTTTCCCTGAAAAGGTAGTTGGTATTCTGTTGATGTTGCTCAAAAGTCAAGGAAGTAACGGAGAAGTCGAGATGAATTCACGCAGAAACGCACGATAAATTGGCTTATCAAGTAAACTGACACAACATATCAGACAAATACGTTTAACATTGAATTTGTCAATCGTTGGATATCAAGTGAATGTATATGTAGAGTGCATATGTAAAAATGCATGAAGTTCACCGAAATGTCCTTATATCACGAAACATATTTAATCCCGTCATTCTCGTCCAATTTTTGCCGAGACAGTTTTTCAAAATTTCGCTCATACTTCATAGTTTGTTTACCTTTTGGATTGTATATACATATATAAATTTATTCATGAAAACAGTGGCGTTTCGTTTACAACGGCAAAAAAAGCAAACGATCGGTCAAAAGGGGAAAAAAGAGGGAAAAAAAAATAGATGGAAGCGTCGACAGGAGCGGAGAGTCCTGCAGGACTCTCCCCGTTGGTGCGTGAGATTATTCTGGAGATCCTGGAGGAATGTTCAAACTCATTGGCCATTTACCGAAACATTTTGCGACAAGAATCGGGGACGAGGGACGACGCCGCTAGCATCTTTCCCGATGTTGAGTATGTCGAGCAAATATAAAATGCGTTGAGTATGTCGAGCAAATATAAAATGCAATAAAGTGCAACCGTGATTATGACACGTCTGCCTTTGTACATCTATCTATCAGGATTTCGGAAACGTCGATTCTACAGTCGTTCACCGGAGGCACTGCGGAGATGACGGATTCACAGAGGGGAGTTGCGCGTGAAAAGCTTCGACGAGACAGGTCGGGATGCATTTAGTCTGTCCCCCCCCCCCCGCCCTGTAAACCCCCGTCCCTGAAAAGCCAACACATTCATCGTGGCGAATCAGTCAATAGATCAGTCAATACCAGTGAAGCTTCGATAAAGCCTCAATGAAGCCTCGGAATAAATTATACAAACAGATTAACGAATTAAATTGTAGTTAATTAACATCTGTTTTTGGAAATAATAAAAATACAAGGAGCAAACAATTTTTTTTTTTTTTATTTATATTACATTCTGTTAAATCAAATTTGAATCGAGCGATTTAAGATATAATTTTATCATCTATAATTTTCCATAAGTAAATATAATTTAATGTTTTAAATGACATTATTTGAATTTGGACCTCCTGTGTTTAAAATGTACAGTTTTCTTTTTATTAATAAAAAGTTACATTTATCTCTGTTCATTTCGCAAATAATCAGAATAATAATAATAATAATAATAATACTTATAGAGGACGGTAGTCTCTAGAAGACGTTCGCCAAAGACGTATTAATGATCAAGATAAAAATTTTTATATTTTAATAGAATATCTTTGCAATACTTTTTTATTAAAATTTAAGCGATCTCTTTTCAAATAAACCTTAATTGTTTAATATTTGCCAAAGTCGTAATTTTTTTAGACAAATTTTAGTGGAAAAGCTAAGAAAAGAATGTTGTTTACAGTTCATATGTGAGCGGTATAATACAGGATTTGAAGCGAGAAATTAGCGAACGTGGAACAATTGATATATTAACTAAGGAAATTGAAAAGATCACGTTGCGGGAAGAGCAGGAGCATCTTTTAATCGAAGAGAACAAAAGAATGCGGACGGTCGTGGCGGAGTTACGAAAAACGATCGTCGATAAGAAAACGGCAAACGAAAGGGAGGAGGAGCGCTTAACGAAGAAGCTCACTTTGACACGGGTAAATGTTTGCAAGTCGAGGAAGATTTGTGTGTGTGTATATATATATATATATATATATATATATATATACGTATAATTAAGTTGTGTAGAGTAATAATACTAACTTAATTATTATTATTTTTTTTGTTGTGTGTCGTACGACCGACGTAGTACGTTGGTTCGTAGTAAGTTAAAGTTACGGTTACGGAACGGGAAACGGGAAAGGGAAAAGGGGAAACGGTAAACGTAACGTAAAACGTTAAAAACGTTAAAAGGTTAAACGGGTAACGGTAAAGGTAAAGTAAACGTAAACGGTACCGGGTCCGGGGTACGGGGTAAACCGGGGGAAACCCGGGACCCGGTACCGGTACCGGGACGGACGGAACGTAACGGTAACGGTCGTCGTTCGGTTACGTTAGGTAGGTTAGGTAGGAGTACGGTCGGTACGTAAGTAAGAAAGTACGTTACGTTAACGTCGTGTGCGGACGAAGAAGAGAACAACCGACGGTACGGGACGGGTACCGGGTAACGGTTAACGTTACCGGTAACCCGTTACCCGGTTACCGGTACGGGACCGGGACCGGGTAACGGTAAACGGTACGGGGTACGGGGTAACGGGGAACGGGTAACGGTTTAACGGGTTTTTTAACCGGTTTTTTTTAAACCGTTTTTTTTTTAAACCCGTTTTTTTTTTACCCGTTAAACCGTTAAAAGTTTAAAAAAGGTTAAAAGTTTAAAACGGTTTAAAACGGTTACCGTTAACCGGTTAACCGGTCCCGTTACCGTTACGTTACGTTACGTACGTTACGTTACGTTCTCTCTCTCTCTCTCTCTCTCTCTCTCTCTCTCTCTCTCTCTCTCTCTCTCTCTCTCTCTCTCTCTCTCTCTCTCTCTCTCGCGAGAAGAAGAATAACAAAAATGTTTGCTTTTAATTTAACAGCTCATCGAGAATCGAATCGTGGAATGCCGGCAGAGGTATGATCGGGAGAAGAAAATGTATGAGAAGGAGATCCGCAAAGTGAGCGATGAGATAGAAGATGCTCGGGAATACTTGGACGAGCTTACAACGGAGGTAATGATTCGAAAATCGCGCGACGGTGAAATGAAAAATATTTTCATTTCATTCCCGCGGCCGGGAAAATGGCGCGCGGGTGAAGTAATCTAATTTGCATTCCGCCGCTCGTTGTTTCGACCACGCTACCACCAATTGTGAATCTTAATTGTCGGATAAAGAGGAGATCCCGGCCTGCGCAACAAGCACAATCACAAACATATTTCGCATTCCCTATGCGACTGCCTAATCTATTTACATCACGTTTCCCCCCTAAGCCTATAACATTGGCAATCAGGCTTGGGTCAACTTTGCACCCGAGCAGGTTTAAAGGGCGCGCCAAAGTTTCGCCGGATAATCGATAATTCGCGTCAAGAACGTGTCCGTCTCGGAAATGTCTTGATGATCGTTATTAATAGCCGAAATCCTTGAATTCCAGGCTCCTGAGAACCTTCCACATGTTTCGAGCCAGGATACATTTAAGCGCGAACTTGTAGCCATTGACCGGAAGTCCGGGGATTAATTTCCTCTAGCTTAGGTTTCAATACAGGGTGTGGTCAAATTTATAATGCAAACATTCGAGCACGCATAATACTGTGTATGTGTGTATCCTTCTACATTTTTAAATTACCTGTAAACCAAAAAAGTCGCGAAATTTTTTATGTATCACGGATTTCGCTTTTGTTGTACATTAATCACTATTAATAGTATACTAATAGATTACTCATTAAATTAATATAAAATAACCCTTGTAATAATTTTGAAGAAATTCTTCCTTTAAATTCCGACGAAACTGACGTTGACAAAAATGTTATGAATGTTATTTAAATGGAATTACATCCAATTTTAAATCTATTTGTTTCAATATCTTGAAATAAAATTCGTTTCGTATATATAAGATATTTCTATATAGCAAAATCGTTCAGTCCTTTCTGGTTTTTTTAACGATGCGTTTGTATATAACGAACAAGATTAAATTTATTGTTTATAAAAATACATCCGCTTTTTCATATATAATTAGGTATAATAAGGTAATTATATATAAGGCGTTATTATTAAAATAGTTATATATAAAATATGTTCATATATAATTTAATGTATAATTCGATACGAATTAGTGGTGTAATTATATGTGATTATATATAAATATATGTATTAAATGTATAATTATATAATCATGTATAATTATATGGATTTTTTATATGGATATATTCTATATATAATTATATATGGAAAAAATGTTACACTGTACTCGTGTAAAGCCTCGTGAGTTTGTATTAAAAACGTGCTTATTTCTGATACGACGTCCGGTAAAATATGTTGGTAAATTGAAAATAAGTACAAACGGTGTTTGTTTTCAGTATCGCAACAATCAGGAATTCATCGACACGTACCTCGCGGAGCAAGAGGCGCTCCGAAAGCAAAAGGAATACGAGGACCACGTGCAACGTAGCACAATTAGGATGCAAGCTTGGTGGCGAGGTATCATGGTACGCCGGAAGTTGGGGCCATATCGATCTGAAGAAAAAAAGAAAAAACGATCTGTTAAGACGAAGAAATAACTTTCCTTTCCTTCGAACGGATTACTCAGCCGTACTACGTCGGCTTTAATTTCGCTCAATCTGACCGGGCGAAGTATCAATCTATCAGTGAGCTAACCGAGGTCACGGTTGCTTAACTGATTTACTATCGCATCCTGATAGTCAAGCACATAAAAAAAACGTAAGCACAATTTAACGTGAGCGAATCAAGTCAGTCAATCAAGCGAGAGAATTATCGAAAACGAAAAATGTATAGAGATTTTAATTTTAAAACTTTTGGTTACATGAACGTACCCTGAGGAAAGGTTTGGGGGAGGGTTCAAACTCCCCAAAAATTTAATGATTTTAATGATTTATAAAATTTAATATTTTTCTTATTTAAAATCAAATACGAAAAGATATCTTAAAATATCCAAAAGAGCAATTTATCAATGCAAAAAATTGCCGTTCATGTATCAACAGAATTAATAAAAATCTCCCACCAAAAAAATTCTAGTTTTGCTATGTTTTGCTATGATTGGTTGCATTGCCATATCTAGAGGGGAAATTGAAGATTCAAATTTGATTATGTGTGTGATGTCTGATAATTTGAAACACATAAAAAACGGAAGTAGAATTTAGTCAGGCAATCAAGCTGAGAATGATCGAAAACGAAAAAAGAACGAATAAAGATTATAATTTCAACCTTTGGTTACATAGGCGCATTCCCAGGAGGGAAAGGTTTATGGGCTTCAAATTCTTTCTCAAAATTAAAAAAAATTAAAATAAAATTAAAGTTATGATTTACAAAATGATTTTTCTTATTCAAAACCAAGAATGAGAAGATATTCTAAATTCTAAAGTATCTAAAAAAGTAATTTATTAATGCAAAAAATCGCTGTCCATTTATCAAACAAAATTGATAAAACTCTCCCTCGAAAAGGGAATCCTGGATACGCCCACACTTGGCTGCGATTGGTTGATTCATTTACTGCTTAAATTTTACTGCTTACGTTCTTTTACGCGCCAATAGATTCAATCTCGAAACGTGGGCGAACGCCCCGAAAAAAAGGCGCGTGAAAATTATTTCTATTCGTTCGGCAAATTCATCAGATTTGAGAGGAACAGAGTTTACGCGACGATTTCGTGCCAGGTTATTTTTCCTTCCCCCGTCGAGAAAATATTGATTCTACTTATCGGAATTAGATTAGCAAGCAACGGAAGGAGCGATATATTTTTAACTTATTTTCTTCGATTCGCATTGATATAATTCTCGAAGTCGGCACTTAAGGGCGAGCGGATGCAATGCTGCAAGGTCATTCGAGAGTACGAAAATCGCGAGATACGAGCAACGACGGTGCGTCGTGGAATAGGCAGCGGTGTTTATGATGCCAAAGTGACAGATTCCGAAACGAATTGCCGAATGCCAATTCAGTTTCGTATCCCTTTCGTGATGTAAAACGCGCGCGCGTACACACACA